ACCCCTTCCTTCCTAACTCGTCCTACCCCTTCCTTCCTAACTCGTCCTACCCCTTCCTTCCTAACTCGTCCTGCCCCTTCCTGCCCTTCCTAACTCGTCCTGCCCTTCCTAACTCGTCCTGCCCCTTCCTAACTCGTCCATACCCCTTCCTACCCCTTCCTGCCCCTTCCTAACTCGTCCTGCCCCTTCCTTCCTACCTCGTCCTACCCCTTCCTTCCTAACTCGTCCTGCCCCTTACTAACTCGTCCTACCCCTTCCTTACTAACTCGTCCTACCCCTTCCTTCCTAACTCGTCCTACCCCTTCCTTCCCAACTCGTCCTACCCCTTCCTTCCCAACTCGTCCTGCCCCAACCTAACTCGTCCTGCCCCTTCTTAACTCGTCCTAACTCGTCCTAACCCCTTCCACACAGCGGCGTGCGTTGAAAGCTTCACTTTGAATGGGGTGACGTCACTTTTCGCCAAACTGCATTGTGGGAAGCGAAGCGGAGCTTTGCTGGCGTGGCTCGCTGCAAAAGTTGAGCAATGTTCAACTTTTGAAGCCTCGGCAGAAGCCTCAGCCAATCGAATCATATCCCAGTACAAGCTTTAACCAATCAAACCGCTGCTTGTGTGTCAGGGGCGGGAGATTCATGTGATTGGTTGTTGGTCGAGTTTCAGACACGCCCGCCGGCAAGCTTCAGCGCACGCCGCTGTGTGAACGGGCCGTGACTCGTCCTAACTCGTCCTAACCCTTCCTAACTCTCCTTCCTAACTCCCACGCAGCGTTGACAGTGTCTCCTCTTGTCCTCTCTCAGGTGGTCCTGCCGACCTTCATCCTGGAGAGGAGGTCGTTGTTAGAAATGTACGCTGACTTCTTCGCACACCCCGACTTATTCGTAAGGTAATCATCATCTCCCATTCCTGCAGGCTTTTATAAAAACACACAAGTGTTCAGGATCAGAATTCCTTTAATCGTTCAACAGAGGGGACATTTTACACCGTTACACCAAGAGGACAGAGCCAGAGATAGCTTAGTGTTGATTAAGGAGCATGCATACCAGTAACAGTATTATAATACAGCAGCCTGTTATAATCTATTGTATTAATATATATCCAACATGTTCATTATTTCCCCTCTGTGTGATTCCTCCAGCATCGCGGAGCAGGAGGAGGCCAGGGAGCGCATGGTGCAGGTGGTGAAGTGGTACATGTCTGCTTTCCACGCGGGGAGGAAAGGCTCCGTGGCCAAGAAGCCCTACAACCCCATCCTGGGAGAGGTGTTCTACTGCCACTGGGACCTGCCCACGGAGACAGAGGAGCCCCCCCCGCCCACGGTGAGACACACTCTGAGGGTCCTTAGATACTGCAGACTGTGTGTGGGGATCGTCAGCACCCTCTAGTGGGCAGAGAGGGTACTGCCATGTGGTTTAAACAAACCATACATTATGTTGTTTCAAGAGTCAAGGCTTTCTTGTCCTTTGTACAGCAGCTACAGGGAAGATATGGAAATGTAAGTCAACTTTGCAACATATGTATAGCACATAGAACAAATCAAACAGATCAAATAGTGCAAGAGAATACAAATGAAAAGCAGACGACGAAATGTAAACAAACACTGAAATAATACGATAAAAAGGCAGAGTTGGAGAGGAGCCAAACGCACGGCAGCCCTGATCACCGGCGCCATGTTGTTTTTAATGTTTAATAAATATAACCCTCTTTATTTGAGTACCTTAAAAAGCGCACCATACATACCATTTATTATTATTATTATTATTATTATTTTAAAGAGCTGTTTGTTTTGGTTTTTATGACCCAAATAAATTCTCTGCTTTTTATTTATGGAGATATATTTTTGGGGGGAAGTTTGTCTTTTATTTGTTTGCAATCTGAAATGGGGCTTACGTTATAGTTGATGCTGTTAAAGATAGTAATTTTCAGGTGTATGTACTGTATGTATAATATTCTCAGGATGTTGGTCAAAGGGAAAGGAAATGGTTCAATTGACAAAAAATGAATTGGTTGAATTAACAAAGCAGATTGTTTTTATTAGGTTTATATTTTGATGTATGACCCTCGTGATTTTTATCCTTATCTTTCATGTTTTTGGTTGATTTGAGAACAGGTCCTCCTTCATGTTCACAGTTTAACCATCAGTAAAGGGGCTTTGAACGCGTCACACGACTTCTGCACATCACTTCAACAACAACATACAGCACTTCATATTTCCTGTGTATATTTACCGTCTGTTCTCTGCCGTTCAGCAGGAGACGGTGTCCGAGGGTCCCGTGCCGTGGTCTTCCACCAACAGTGTGTGTTTTGTGGCGGAGCAGGTCTCTCACCACCCCCCCAGTGAGTAACTGACCTCTATATCAGTCATTTATATTCACTAGCGGTTACAGAGGAGGGAGAAGTACTCAGATCTTGAGTAAAAGTAGAAGTACTCAGATCTGGTACTTGAGTAAAAGTAGATGTACCAGAGTGTAGGAATACTTTCTCCTCTACATTTGTGTGACCAGCGTCCTTGGGTTTCTTGAAAAGCACTATATATATATATATATATAGTGGGGCAAAAAAGTATTTAGTCAGCCACCAACTGTGCAAGTTCTCCCACTTAAAAAGATGAGAGAGGCCTGTAATTTTTATCCTAGGTATACTTCAACTATGAGAGACAAAATGAGAAAAAGAAAATCCAGAAAATCACATTGTCTGATTTTTAAAGAATTTATTTGCAAATGATGGTGGAAAATAAGTATTTGGTCAATAACAAAAGTTCATCTCAATACTTTGTTATATACCCTTTGTTGGCAATGACAGAGGTCAAACGTTTTCTGTAAGTCTTCACAAGGTTTTCACACACTGTTGCTGGTATTTTGGCCCATTCCTCCATGCAGATCTCCTCTAGAGCAGTGATGTTTTGGGGCTGTCGCTGGGCAACACGGACTTTCAACTCCCTCCAAAGATTTTCTATGGTGTTGAGATCTGGAGACTGGCTAGGCCACTCCAGGACCTTGAAATGCTTCTTACGAAGCCACTCCTTCGTTGCCCGGGCGGTGTGTTTGGGATCATTGTCATGCTGAAAGACCCAGCCACGTTTCATCTTCAATGCCCTTGCTGATGGAAGGAGGTTGTCACTCAAAATCTCACGATACATGGCCCCATTCATTCTTTCCTTTACACGGGTCAGTCGTCCTGGTCCCTTTGCAGTATGGTGTTCTTTGGATGAAACTCAGCATTCTTTTTCCTCCAAACAGGTCTTGTTGAGTTTTTACCAAAAAGTTCTATTTTGGTTTCATCTGACCATATGACATTCTCCCAATCCTCTTCTGGATCATCTAAATGCTCTCTAGCAAACTTCAGACGGGCCTGGACATGTACTGGCTTAAGCAGGGGGACGCGTCTGGCACTGCAGGATTTGAGTCCCTGGCGGCGTAGTGTGTTACTGATGGCAGCCTTTGTTACTTTGGTCCCAGCTCTCTGCAGG